ACTAGGTCCCTTCCGACCCTTAATCTATGAATCTATGATCTCAGGACACTCCAGGGTGTTGCAGCACACAAGTTGGGAATCACTATTCTACATCTAACATACCCTGGGGGGTTGGGGAAGGGGAGGCACCTTTTGCACTTTAAGGCCAAGTTGGTTATCCTTCTCTCCCTAGCCTCCTACAGCCTGGCAGGCAATATAGCAACTAAAAGTATTCTCCATACTTTCCTGCAATGCAGTTTAGAGGCCAAGGAAGAACTGCTGAGCAGTCCCTATCTATACCTTCATGCAGTTTATCCAAGTGCTCATATCAGAGTTTCTCCTTAGGTGGTAGGAAGCGGACTCCATTATCTGCCTGTACCAGTGGGGTCATTTAAAAAACACTATATTTAAAAGAGTCCACAGGGTAACAAATTGACAGTCTAAAATGTAAACTGTCACCTTAACATCATAATTTTGGCTCCTAGGTCACAAGATAGACATTCCTGTAGCAGGTGCTTTGTAAACATAGGAAGCCCTGTGCCTTCAAAGCATGTGGCATTTTTTAAAAGACAGGAGGAAGATTGTGGTAAATATTCAAAACATAACTAACCTTGTGCCTAGTTGATATTTTCAGTGTAATTTAAGGAGACTTGGAAGTAAGCAAATCTGCAGACCAGTGGCCTTCTACCACCTTAATACTGCAAAAATACTAAGATCAAACCCAAAAGTGCATGTATATAAACAAAACTCACCAAACATACATGCAAGGACAGTGGAATATATATTACACCTTGGGGATAGTTGTCCAAGTTTGAGATATTGCACTGGACTCTGAAGAAACTTAAGATTTCTCAGAAGACAAAAGAGATGCATTGTCCTACAGCATCTACATTGCAAGACCAGATTACTTCAGTTTCACTGTGCTCAAATCAAATAATCCTGCATTTCCCCAGTTTGTCTACTCTGGGAATATCTTATAGGTGTTCATTAAACAGTTTTACTTCTGAAAATCACCTACGTCAGAGTGAAAAGAAGTTCTGGCAAAGAAAAAAGAAAAAAAAAAAGTGCCTGCTTTAGTTATCAATTTTAAATACACAATCAGTAAGAAGTGGCACTTGCCTGTTGCCAAAGCCACCACAGAACATAAGTAGAAATTTAGAAACTCCACAGTAGACATGCACTTTGCTGCAATCTTCTGATGCAAGGTGCAAACAAAAGCCGACTTAAGCAAAACTGATATTTTTTTGTTTAGTCCAGCATCATTCACTACAGTAACTCAGAAAACTGTGACTCTCCAGCACTCAACCCCACCCCCAACAGAAAAACAAACAAACAAAACCAAAAACCACTTCTAAACCAGCTTATGAATATACCCCTTAGAGAAATTAGTTGTATTGAGAAGCCTGAAACCAAAAACATCTAGGGCAGTTATTTAATTTTGACAGACCAGGCATCCTGTGGAAAACACCACCTCTTAAGTTTTCCCTCTTCTTTGAAAATAAGAGCTAGTCTTCTGTTGCAAAGAACTTGGAAAGATCACAGCAGGTCTGAATTGTTTTAAACACTCTGGATTTAACTTGAAACCTCTGGCTTTAATCTTGTGAAACGCACTTGCACATCTAATGGTGCTACTGCTGCATGGCACCTGCATCCCCCTTGCCAGGATCTCACAGCCCCCCCGGAGCCCTCGGTCTCTGGCCGAGATGTAGGGGAAGCTTAGGGTGGATCCTTTTAGCCACGGGCTTCCTGCAGAGACATGACAGGCTCGAGATGGCTCCGCAGCCTTGTCGAAACCAGAGTAAAACCCAGCGTTGGGTGGAAGGGCGTTAAACCTGGCTCAAGGTCAGGGACTGCTGTGAAGCAGCAGAAGCCAAAGCCAGCTCCCTCCCTGGGGGAGTGAATGCACGAAAACATCCGGTTTGTAAAGCAGGGGATAGAGAAGGAGTGTGCGTATTGGGGGGGGACGGGAGAGGTCCTCTTTCCTGCTTGAATCCCTTCATCTTTCCATACACCTGTGTGGCTCAGCAGCCTGCCCCCAGGGGGAAAAATCAGGACAGGAGCTCGGCTCAGCCCAGGGTCACCACACACACCCGCAGCCCCACCCCCCGCACCTACCTGCGCGCGCGAGCTGCCGCGGCCGCAGGCTGAGGGCACGGCCGCG